CTGTGGTCGAGTGTGTCCCCGCGTGATCAGTGGCAAGTTGATCCATCCCTCCCACTTTTTGGCCACCATCCCCAAGTGGCAAATGTTCTTTTGTGTGAAGTGCGGCCATACGGCCACGCACCAGGTTAAAAGCCTTCTTTTGCCGTGCCCTCTCTCCCACCAAGTGGGAGAGCGCAGGGCCCTGGGACCCACTGGCAAAGGCCTCGAGAACCTCAGCAGGATCAGGCGAGGCCTCCACCCGTCCAGAGCGGGTCCCAGCAAGGCAGTGCTAGAAGCTTTGCACGTTTCGGCAGCCGAAGCCGCGATCGGTTCCTTCGCGGCGGGTGCGGCCACCGAGTAAATTGCGAGGCCAGGGGGGCCTGTCGCGGTGGGCCGTGGGATGTCGCCCCCCACGGCCCTCCGAGAAATACTGGATGGCCCCCCTGGCAGCCCTGGGTTCCGAACGGACTACGTCCGATTGCTCCACTCCTCCGCCTCCTCCTCCTCCTCCTCGTCCTCGTCCTCGTCCTCCTCCTCCTCGTCCTCCTCCTCCTCCTCCTCCTCCTCCTCCCCCGCCCCCTCCCCCTCCAACTCCGCCTCCTCCTGCCCCTCCCCCTCCTTGTCCCCCTCCTCAGGCCGTGCCCTCCTCCTCTCCTCCTCCCCTCCTCCTCGTCATCCTGCTCCTCCTGCTCCTCCTGCTCCTCCTGCTCCTCCTCCTCCTCCTCCTCCTCCTCCTCCTCCTCCTCCTCCTCCTCCTTCCCCTCCTCCCCGCCCTCCCCCTTCCTCCTCCTCCTCCCTCCTTCCTCTTCTCCCTCCTCCTCCTCTCCTCCTCCTCCTCCTCTTCCTCCTCCTCCTTTTCCTCCTCCTCCTCCTCCTCTCCTCCCCTCCTCCTCTCCCTCCTCTCTCCTCCTCCTCCTCCTCCTCCTCCTCCTCCACAATTGCACAATCTGAAAATACTCTCCCACTTCCCCTGATGGCGTCCCGAAGATATCCGACACCCCCCCGCGTAGTGTTTTTTACAGACAGGATTCCAAGGAAACGGGTCTCGCTTTTTTTTCAAAATGCTGCTCTCGCTGGGGCGCCGGCTTCATTTCTGCTCCCGAATCGTTCCGAATCGTGTTTCTGCTGCAGCGTGGGCCTCATTTTCGGATCGGTATTTGGCCTCCGTCGTTCAGGATGGCATCCTCGCCCCAGCGCGGGCCTCTTTCTCGCGCGCCCATCCGCCCGCCACCACCGCGCCGCACCACCACCACCACCACACCGACCACCAACCACCACCCCCACCCATCCCCCATGCACCCCAGCACCACCAGCACCACCAGCACCACCCGCACCAACAGCACCACCGGCGCGGCCACCACCCCCCACCACCACCACACCACCACCACCACCCCACAACCCACACAAAGCTCCGCACGCCTGCAGCGCCACGCACGCGCACCACACCACTACGGCACGCGAGGGCGGAGGCCACAAGTCCCGCTACGACACGCGTCCGCGGATAGAGAAAATCAGCACCATGTAAGATGGGGAGGGATGGGTGGACGTCAGATAATGAACCCGAGCGCACCTACTTGTTACTCCTCCCCCTCCCCCCCCCCTCCCCCCCCCCAAATCCCCTCCCCCTCCCCCTCCCCTCCCCCTCCCCCTCGCTCCTCCTCCTCCTCCCCCCCCGACCCTCCTCTCTCCTCCCCCTCCTCCTCCTCCTCCTCCCCCTCCTCCTCTCCTCTCCTCCTCCTCCTCCTCCTCCTCCTCCCCTCCTCCTCCCTCCTCCTCCTCCTCCTCCTCCTCCCCCTCCCCTCCTCCTCCTCCTCCTCCTCCTCCTCCTCCTCCTCCTCCTCCTCCTCCTCCTCCTCCTCCTCCTCCTCCTCGTCCTCCTCTTATTATGATTCGGATTCGTCTTACTCTTCTTCTTTTTCTTATTCGTATGCGTATTCCCATTATACAGTTTAGTGTTGTTAGGCTTATTGTTGTTATTCTTATTATTCTACTGATTACTATCCGTAGTGTTAGTCTTAGTTTTCGTATCATAATTATTATTATTAGTATGATTATTATTATTATCATTATTTGTATTAGTATTGTTATTAGTAGTAGTAGTAGTAGTAGTAGTACTAGTACTAGTAGTAGTAGTAGTAGGAGGAGGAGGAGGAGGAGTAGGAGTAGGAGTAGGAGTATGAGTCAAGCTAGCCAGCTCGAGCGAGTCAAGCATGGCATGCCCAGTCCCACCCGCCCTCCCACAACATAAGAAGCAAAGCTGGCACAACTGGGGCCGAAGTCACACCGGCCAGCCGGTTTGGTACAGCTGATGCGGCCGCGATGGCGGTTGCCGACGGGAACTGGCGAGCGCGTGTTGAATGCCGCGCACGCATTGCCAGACGAGTCGAGAATGGCCCGGTACACCGCAGGAAGCCAGAGGTGGCCGGAGGAAGCCCGACGGTCTGACAGGACACCCCAAAAGCATTTTTGTGAAAAAATATTAGGCCGAAGTCACACCGGCCATCCGGTTTGGTACAGCTGATGCGGCCGCGATGGCGGTTGCCGACGGGAACTGGCGAGCGCGTGTTGAACGCCGCGCACGCATTGCCAGACGAGTCGAGAATGGCCCGGTACACCGCAGGAAGCCAGAGGTGGCCGGAGGAAGCCCGACGGTCTGACAGGACACCCCAAAGCATTTTTGTGAAAAAGCATTGGGTTTTTGATGTTTTTTATGTTGAAATGCTTGCAAACACACGGTGTTCGGTAGGATTCTGACATGAACGCGCGAGTGTGCTCTTTGTGGTATTTTTTGCACAGGATTCGCGGCCTGGGTGCATGACAGAGCATCGCGAGTGCACCGCGCGATGACGCGAAATCGCTGGATTTGACAGAATTCTTAAGATTCCTATGGTTTTCCTATGATTTCAGCAAGAGAGCCCGGGCGGGAAATTTGTAGATTTTTTGTGAAAAAAAAACATTGGGTTTTTGATGTTTTCATGTTGAAATGCTTGCAAAAACACGGTGTTCGGTAGGATTCTGACATGAACGCGCGCGTGTGCTCTTTGTGGTATCTTTTGCAATGGATTATCGCCGTGGACGACAGGACGTCCATGTCGAGAGGAAAAAATAAGAAAAATGTTGATTTTGTATGGATTTTTACAGGTTAGGATGGGACCACCCGGATGCGGCCCCTAATGGCCGGCCTGAGGGGGGAGTAGGAGTATATTCTAATAAGGAATAAGGATAGGAGTAGGAGTAGTAGGAGTAGGAGTAGGAGTAGGAGTAGGAGTAGTAGTAGGAGTAGGAGTCAAGCTAGCCAGCTCGAGCGAGTCAAGCATGGCATGCCCAGTCCCACCCGCCCTCCCACAACATAAGAAGCAAAGCTGGCACAACTGGGGGCCGAAGTCACACCGGCCAGCCGGTTTGGTACAGCTGATGCGGCCGCGATGGCGGTTGCCGACGGGAACTGGCGAGCGCGTGGTTGGTGGATGGTGGTGTGCTTTGAAGGGGGGGAAGGTCATGCCGCGCACGCATTGCCAGACGAGTCGAGAATGGCCCGGTACACCGCAGGAAGCCTGAAGGCCCCAACTTGTACTGTTTTTTTATAAAGGGGGGGTTTGGATGGGCGGGCGCGGGGTGCGCGCCGCATCCCATTCCTGCCAAGCATTTTGCGACGTGGACGACAGGACGTCCATGCTGAGAGGAAAAACGTTGGTGCGCGGCGCCGAGGCGAGAGCGACATGTCACCCCTTCGCGCGGGGTGCGCACCGCGTCCCATTCCTGCCACGCATTTTGCGACGTGACGACAGCACGACCATGTTGACAACAAAAACAAAAACTGTGTATTGTCTTTTGCAGATTAGAATGGGACGGATTGGATGGGCGGGCGCGGGGTGTGCGCCGCGTCCCATTCCTGCTATGCATTTTGCGACGTGGACGACAGGACGTCCATGCGACGGTGCCAATGACGGCGACGACTCTAGAAGGATTTGAGCATGCGCTCGCGGCGACGCGCGCGCATGTCGCCCGCGTGGTATTTTTTGCACAGGATTCGCGGCCTGGGTGCATGACAGAGCATCGCGAGTGCACCGCGCGATGACGTGAAATCGCTGGATTTGACCGAATTCTTAAGATTCCTATGGTTTTCCTATGATTTCAGCAAGAGAGCCCGGGCGGGAAATTTGTACAATTTTTGTGAAAAAACATTGGGTTTTTGATGTTTTTATGTTGAAATGCTTGCAAACACACGGTGTTCGGTAGGATTCTGACATGAACGCGCGCGTGTGCTCTTTGTGTATTTTTTGCAATGGATTATCGCCGTGGACGACAGGACGTCCATGTCGAGAGGAAAAAATAAGAAAAATGTTGATTTTGTATTGTTTTTTACAGGTTAGGATGGGACCACCCGGATGCGCCCGCTATCTGCCGGCCTGAGGGGGGAGTAGGAGTATATTCTAATAAGGAATAAGGATAGTAGTAGTAGTAGTAGTAGTAGTAGTAGTAGTAGTAGTAGTAGTAGTAGCAGTAGTAGTAGTAGTAGTAGTAGTAGTAGTAGTAGTAGTAGTAGTAGTAGTAGTAGTAGTAGTAGTAGTCGTAGTCCGTAGTAGTCTCGTCGTCGTCGTCGTCGTCGTCGTCGGTCGTCGTCGTATAGTGTAGTAGTGTAGTAGTAGTGTAGTAGTAGTAGTAATAGTAGTATTAGTAGTAGTAAGTAGTAGTCGTAGTAGTGGTAGTAGTAGTAGTAGTAGTAATAGTAATAGGATAGTAGTAGTAGTAGTATAGAAGTAGTAGTAGTAGAAGTAGTAGTAGTATAGTAGTGTAGTAGTAGTAGTATATAGTACTAATAGTTTTCTTCTTCCTCCTTCCTCCTTCTCTCTTCTTCCTCCTTCCTCCTCCCTCCTCCTCCTCCTCCCCTCCATCCTCCCCTTCCTCCTCCTCTCCCCTCCTCAGCCTCCTCCTCCTCCCCTCCTCCTCCTCCTCCTCCTCCTCCTCCTCCTCCTCCTCCTCCTCCTCCTCCTCCTCCTCCTCCTCCTCCCCCTGGCCGCCTCTCTGCGCTCCGCCAGGAAGGCCCCGCCGGCGGCCCGCGAGGCCGCCCCAGCGCCGGGCCCGCCAGGAAGGCTGGCCGCGAGGGCGCCTGCCCGAGCGGCACGGAGCTCTTCGATGGGGCCCCGGCGGGCCAATCTTCCACCACCGCTACCAGGGGTACAGTCGGGGCGCTGAAGAAGGAACCTTTTTCGTTTGGGAGGAGCTCCGTGTTCCGTAGTTGTTTTACCGTTTGCCTCAGGTTTAGCTTCGGTTTTCGACCGGAGATCGAAATTAAACTCAAGGAAAAAAGGAGACTCGCTCCATATTTAGGGTTCCTTAAATCAACGCCCTAACTGCATGACGGGGCAGAATTGAGCAGGGACCACCGTCCCGGTATTGCCATGGGCCTACCACGAAAGTGTCTCGGATCCCAGGAATTTTTCGAGAACCAAAACAGTGTTCTTGGAACATGAACCCGATGTGTTAATGCAAATCGAATTCGGCCAGAAATGTTCTAAGAACATTTCGTGCAGACCACAAAGGGTTCTTAGAACATTACTTTGGTATGCCTATAGGCGAGCTAGGACGCTTCGCCATTGTTTGAAAGGAGGGAGGATGGGGCCCCTCCTCCTCCTCTTCCTCCTCCTCCCCAAGGTACAGTAGGAGCTCGACTACAAGAACCCTTCTAGAAGGAAACCCAACCCTGATACCCCAGAACGAACATTGATTCCTGGTGTGGGAACGCCACGCTTCCCACAGCAGAGCCATCGAAGCCCAAGAAACCCAGGAGACAAGCAGCGTGTTCCTTGGCCTGGGCTTCCCTCCACTGTAAGGGTGGTGCAACCTCGGCACACCAAATCTCAGACTTGGAATGCCCCGCCCAGGCGGCCCGACCCGCCCATCAATGCCCGCCCACCCTGGCCGCCCGTGCATGACGGAGCCCCGGCCGCACCCGCCCATTGGGGCACACCCCGCCGACCAGCCCGGAGGGGTCCGCACGCCGGGCCGGCTCTCTTCAGCGTCCGCGCGGGGCCGATCTCCCGTGGCAGCGACGTCTGGGGCCATTTGCACAGCCTCGTGCCGCTGCTGAGGATGATCACCACCCCCACACACACGAGGCATTAAACGAAATGGCTCCTACGATCCAGCGCCGAGGTACTCTCGAGTGGAAATGCAGGCCATGGTTAAACTTGTAGTGTCGTCGCAGTTGCGTTTTTAAGAGAGAAACCTAACCGATATCACCCCAGAGTGAGGCTATGGTTAAACCATCCACTCCCAGTACTCCGATTCCCATCCCATGTTAGCAAGCGAAAAATTGGGATTTGTGTGATGGTAACGCTGCACACAGAGGCATGATGAGACAACATCACTTCAACCATAAACACTCCTGGCTGAATTGAGTTGATGTGCTTAATTCTACGATACGTGCCACTCTAGTTCATTGAGGGGCTGTTTTGGGTTATGCTCATGGATATATCTGCATCGCAAATAAAGCAGTAGTCGAGACGAGCGGCCATGGCTATGGTTATACTTTTCCTGCGTTGGTTGTCAGTGTATATGTATATATACATATATATATATATATGTGTGTATATATATACATGTGTATCTCTACATGTGTATATCCAAGAGAGCCCTAGACGGGCTCCAAGAGGGCCCCGAGAGGCCCCCGAATCGCCGCACGATCGGTCCAAGACGCCCAAGATGGCCCGAGGACGGCCCGAGAAGCCCTCGAGGCGGCCCCAAGAGGCCTAAGAATGTCCCCAAGAGGTCCCCACGAGGCCCCAACAGGCCCCCAAGAGACCCAAGAGAGGCCACACAACAGCCCCGCAGAGGCCTGCAAGGCGGCCCAAGAAGCCTCCAAGAGGTACTCCAGACCGGCCCCCCAAAGGTCAAACTCTTAGATCTTCCCCTGATTTCTTTGGCATTTGCTTCGTTTCGGCCTCTCAGCGGCCCAGGACGGCCCAAGAACACTCCGAGATCGTCTCAAGACCGCCCACGCGGCTTCCAAAATGGTCGGATGACGGCTCAGGAGGTTACTGGGGTGGCCTCACAAGAGACCCAAAACGGATTCAGAGGCCTCCAAGATGCTCAGGATGGCTTCCAAGGCGGCCTCTTCAGCGTCCTAAGACTAAGAGAGCCCCATAGGGGTGCAACATGTCTCCAAGACGGCCGCCCACTACTTCCAAAACGGCCTCAGATGCCCTCAAGACGCCCCAAGAAGCCTCCAAAAGACGGTCCAAGAGGCATCCAAGAGGTCTTACAGGAAGGCCCGAAGAGGCCAAAGTCACTGTTGTTTATAGGATGTTTGACAGAGATTGGCATTTGCTTCATAACGCCCCTCCGGCGGTTCAAGAGACCCCCAATATTGCCTCAAGATCGCCCGCGAGGCCTCCAAGATAGACAAAGACCGACCCGAGAGGCTTCCAAGACGCCCAAGATGGCCTTCAAGACAAGACAGCCCAGCTTGGGTACCCAAGACTAATTCCGACGGCGTCAGACGGGCCATGAAGCCTCCAAGAAGCCCCACGAGGTCCAAGAAGGCCCCAAAGAGGCCTCTAAGAGGCCCCCGCCCCCAGGAGGCCCCCAAGAATGACCCAAGAAACTCCCAAGAGGTCTCCTCATCCCTCTCCTCTTCCTCCCTCTCCTCCTGCTCCTCTTCCCCCCCACGTGTTCCTCAAAGGGCTTACAACGGCTGGGGAAACGCATGGTCCAACAACGTGGCACAACTTTGCCCAACCGTTTGGCCACATTGGCGTATCCTCAAAGGCAGGGAGGCGTCGGTGATTCCCCGTAGGCTTCTTCGATGACTGTAACATCGGCAGTGATTGAGGGGAAAAATTATAAAAATGAAAGGTGTGGTTCCCTCACAGGTATGTGAGGGACCGGACTCTATACACCCACGTTTTCTACGGCCCCGCACTGAAACTCGCACAAGAAAGCGGATCCTGGTGTATACGGGATCCTGCTGTATACTATTTTTCGTTGTTTCCCAATGAAAACGGGAAAAATTGTATACACCACACCACTCCGACGTCGTCCACGACCCTCAAAAAGTTCTGCGATTGAAAAACAGCCCGCCACTGGTAATGTATATGTTACAGTTTCCGAGTATGGGCATTCCAAGATCGAAGTTGTAGAATCCAGACCCGATGCCCGTCCTGCCTTCATTATGGTGGTCAAAATCTGCGCGAAACCGATCCCTCTAACCCACCCACCCGCCCCTCCGGAAACGCCCGAGGACCTCCTAAACCCGGGTGCGTCGAAGAGGGGGCCCAGGCCAAGGGCGTCCAGCAGGGCTGGACCTAAACGGTGATTTGGCGATTTCGTGGGCCATTTTCGTTTAGACTTCGTTTTGCGGTAAAGGAGGATTGAAACCAAAACGAGGGAAAACGAAATCAAAACGAAAACGAAAAACATCGTTTAGGTTCAGCACTGGCGTCCAGCGCAGCATGGCACGAAGCATGCGCGCGGACGAGAGGGATCCGGGGGGCGTGCTGATAGCGGATGGGGGCCATGAGATCTGGAAGGCTTCATTGCCCCAGCCATGATGCCCACAGACACACACACACCTGGTCTGTAGCCCCATCTCATTGAAGGGGAACTGGAACACACAAATAAATACACACAAATAAAAACATCCCCCATATTTTCCCATATTTTCTGGGTTTTTGTCTTCCCCACCACTTCCCATATTTTTGCATATTTTCCTGGGAGTCGACGATTAATTGTGTCTGTGTGTTTCTTTCCCTCCTGACTCATGGAGGCTGGAACAGATTCGGAGATCGCCGGTGCATCGGCACCGTCGGCGTGGAGAACATCGGGCTCAACTCTGAGCCGCGTCGCCGTCTCATCGGCGACGCGGCGCGATCTTCCGACGCAGTCTACTTGGACACTGTCAATGAGGCCTAAACTCATCGCCGCCCCCGACGAAGACCTCCCGAAACGACGATCACGCTCATGACAACGACGACACCTGACATCCGACGTTGTGATTTTTGGTGCACAGCGTGGCCCTCGAGAAGTCTGAACCCCTTCCTGGGGATCGGATTTCCAACCATGCGTCGTTCTTTAACGGTCCCGGGACCTGTCAAGGGTACCTTGAGGCCGCAGACCGGAAACCCCTTCCGTCGTGATCTTGTCCATGGCGCGATGGGGTCAACTTTTCGGGTCACGAGCAACTTGGTCTCAAATGGCCGCTTGGGACAAGTCTGGGCTCCCCGGAAAGCTCTCGACGAGGCGGAGCTGATGGAGACCACCTCAAGACCCGGAAACCTACGGGAAACCTTCGAAAACCACCCGACATCCGCCGATCTGATGTTTTCAATGCGCCGCGCCATACGTCCCGACCCCTCCCCCAGGGCCCTTGGAACCCGTGCCCCCACAAGCTGCTCGTGAAAAGATCCTGCCCACGCCGCTGGGAAATTTTCGCGGGCGCGTAACTCTGTTCCGCACTCTTGCAATGCTCGCCCCGGGGCGAACATCCAAATTTCAACCCAGATCATGTGATCCATTTTCGATCGCCCGCCCGAAAACGGCACCCAAAGGCCCAAGTCGACGAAACAAAACATCAAACGTTGCGAGCGAAAATGCGACATCTCGAAAAACCAAAGCCAGCACCCTCGACCCTATCTTTCTGGCTTTCCCCAGCCCTATCTTAACGGGCGAAGAACGGTATAACATAAACTTTTTCGCCGTCGGGGACACCTGCCCCAGCGCGGCTGGAAAGTTTATACCCCTACGGTGGCACCGTAGGGGTATAAACTTTCCAGCCGCGCTGGGGCAAACATTTCGCTCGCTGTAACATGCCTGGTGAAGAAGACTGCGGCGCCGGGGTCTCAAGGACCTTCCGTCGTGATTCGGCCCACGGCGCGAGGCTTCCGTCAAGGCTCTGCTGCGCCTTCGGTGGACCTCGCCTGCCCCATCTCGCCCTTATATCCGCGTCGAAGCCGTGCCCGACCCACGTCGGACTTGCCGGACCCACATCGGATTCTCGTCGAATCCCCATCCAATGCACGTCACACCCGCGTCGAGTCCATATCGAGCCCACGTCGGGCACAGGAAGAAAAGCAACTTTGGCAAAACAAGCGAAAACCAGTTAAAATGCAACGACAGGGGGAAGGGGAGGAGCAGGAGGAGACGGACTTGAGGTAGCATGGCTTTGGGTCGCCTTAGCCCCCGTTCGTGGGCCCAGTTTACTGGAGAGACCACCCTGTAGGGCACGGTGACCCAATGTAGCATATGGCCTAGACGAGCAGAGGGAGGAGGATATGAGGTGGAGAATGAGGAAGAGGACGGGGAAGAGGAGAACGCTGAGATAATGCAGCATAGTGCCAGTCAGCAGCAGTGCGACAGCTGGGTAGTCAGCTGGGTAGTTGTACGCCCCGTTGGGGGGTGGCTCTCGATAGCTCACTATCTCTGAAGGCTACGATTCAATGATTTTCAAAAAAAATGGCACTCGAGCCCAGCTCGTTTTGGAGGAGCCCACCCCTTCCCCCCAGAGCCACCCGGGGGGATGGGCCACTCATCGCCCTTGGGAGGAAGACCTCGGCGCCATCGGTTCAGGTAATTCACTCCCGAAGGGACTTCCAGCCACGGCACTCCTGGACAATTAACCTGATGTGCCCTCAACTGGTTTTTCCTCATTGCGACATCATGCAACGGGTGAGTGAACTGATGCAATTGCCGTTCGCAACTCGGAAGTGGCATCGCGCGGGGCCAACACAATGTCATCTCGCTAACTTAAGTGCTGGCTGGCGGGATCGCGCTTGCAGCGCTCACCTGGGAACCAATGAATCTGAACGGGGCCTCGCGGGGGGGCCTTGCCGGCAAACGCGGCAAACCCGCGAAGTAATGACCAGCCTAGACACGGTGTGTCCCGACGGACGCTCCAACTCGAGCGCCCGTCTGGGCGCTTCCCACCCTCCACCCTTGGAACCTCGGCAATCAGGGCTTCTTGTCACGCTTATATTAACCAGCAACCTTGGTGGCGACTTTGACCGTGGGCGATTACGACTACGATCTCACGATTCTGCCTTTCTATGTTTTGCTGTTCGAGTTTGGGTGTCGCCATTTCCTGTTGTTTTACTTTTCTACGTCTCAACTGTTCACATCTGGAATTTGGCAGACAGCACGTTTCTATGCGTCTACTGTTCTTCTTTTCGCGTCCTGGAGTCTGCTTCCTGCGACCTTCCTCATATTTACTGTTTACTTTTCGCGCCTTCCATCAGGCGCCCCCACCAAGGGTCGAACAAAAATCCGCCGGCCCCCCTGTGGGGCCACCAGCCTGTAGGACGAAGTGTGCTGCTCCCTGCACCTGTTGCAGTTTCAAGTCTCCAATGTTACAGTCCTGCTTTCTGCTCCATACTTTGAGTTGTGCAGGTCCGCGCGACGGGTGGGGAGCCCCAGAGGACCCATTTACAAAGCCCTGATCGTGTACTCTGAATTCCAGGGGGGGCGTGGGACACGTTATCATGCATGAGGTTCGCGCCCCCGAGACCATAATTCCAGTACGTTACACAAGATGTTCTTCCCCGAGGCCGCAAACCCTGCTAAAGTATTCAATTGTTGCGTCCCCTGGGCAAGAAACCCTGACAAATGACATAATATTCGCGTGCCCGAAGCCATCAACCTTAGCAACTTGCGCCTACGCCATATTCACATTGCCGAGGCCAAGAATGCTCCAAGGCGCCCGAAGATGCTTCCAAGACGGCCCAAGATGGCCCACACAGAGGCCCCAAGAGCGTGCCAAGAGGCCTCCCGAGAGATCCCCAGGAGGCCAAAATCGTAGATGTGTCATTGTTCTGATGTTGGCCTTCTAGCATTTTCTGATTTCCGACGCCCCAAGACGGCTCAAGAAGCTCCAAAGACCACCCCAAGACAGCCTAAGACGCCTCCCACAAGGCCCCAAGACGGCTCGAGAAGCCCCCAGGAGGCCCCAAGAGGCCGCCAAGAGGCTCCAAGAGGCGCCCAACACGCGCCCAATAGGCCGCCAAGAGGCCCACGAGGCCCCAAGAGGCGCCCAAACCGCCTCCAAGAGGCCCGCGAGAGGCTCCCCAAGACACCCCAACACATATACAAGAGGCCTGAGACCCACAACCCCGGCAAGGTGGCGGGATGGGCCGAAGGCCACTAAGATAACTCCAATGTTTCAATATGCGCTGATGATTCCTACCCGCCCCCGCATGATGATCCCATATGCTCCAAGGCAGCGCCGAGACGCACCGACGCGACCCTGATATATGTCATTATGATAGAGAGGGGGCCAGTGGCAGGGGGCGACGCCCTTCCGGGGCGACGCCCTCCACTGAGGTGGAGGAGAAGCAGGAGGAGAGGTGGGGGGCGCGAAGGAATAGAAGTGAGAGCAACGACAAGGGGGGACTGGCCCACGGGGGGAAACATCTACCTGGAATCGGCGATGCATCGCCGGCAGATCGGGGGTAGGACCCCGAGAGGGAATCCCCACCTTCCTTGGCGGGGTGGGGCTACATCGGGCCCCCGTCGGCGATGCATGGACGACTGGGGGGCGAGGAATCCCCTCCTCTGCCTGTCCCCCCCCCATTGTTGCCCCGCGCCCCGCCCAGGGGGAGGAGGGGGACGAGGAGGAGGAGGAGGAGGAGGAGGAGGAAGAGGAGAAGGAGGAGGAAAGGGAGGAGGAGGAGGAGGAGGAGGAGGAAGAAGAGGAGGAGTAGGAGGAGGAGGAGGAGGAGGAGGAGGAGGAGGGAGGAGGAGGAGGAGAGGAGAGAAGAGGAGGAGCAGGAGGAGCAGCAGGAGGAGAGGAGGAGGACGATGGGGGGAGGGGAGGGGGGAGGGGGAGGGGGGAGGAGGAGGAGGAGGAGGACGAGGAGGAGGAGGAGGAGGAGAGGAGGAGGAGGAGGAGGAGGAGGAGGAGGAGGAGGAGGAGGAGGAGGAGGAGGAGACGGAGGAGGACGACGAGGTCCCCCGACGAGGTGAGAGAGAGAGAGAGAGACGCGCTCTGCCGGCCGGCCGGCCGTCCTGGCGTGAGGGCGCGCGGCGGGGCCTCGGCCCAAATGTTCCCGCGACTCTCACAAATTTGCCACCTCATCTCCTCCCACACAAATTCTCGCAAACAGCCGCCTTCTTGTTTCGAAAAAAAAAAACTTGACGCAACCATCGGCGGGGTGGGGCTAACGGGCCCCATCGGCGATGCATGGGCGACTGGGGGGCGATGATTCCATTCCCGTGCCTGTCCCCCCTATCGTTGCCCCGCGCCCCGCCCAGGGGGAGGAGGGGGAAGAGGAGGAGGAGGAGGAGGAGGACGAGGAGGAGGAGGAGGAGCAGGAGATGGAGGAGGAGGAGGAGGAGGAGGGAGAGGAGGAGGAGGAGCAGGAGGAGGAGGAGGTGGAGGGAGGAGGAGGAGGAGGAGGAGGAGGAGGAGGAGGGGGAGGAGGAGGAGGAGGAGGAGGAGGAGGAGGACGACGACGAGGAGGTCCCCCCGACGAGGAGGCCCCCGAAGCTGCAGGCGCAACGCCGCGGGCCGGGGCACCATCGGCAGCCCGCCGCCGCAGGCTGCCAGCGCGCCGGCGGCCGCGAGCGCCCGCCTGGCGCGGCGGGGCGCGGGTCGCGGCGCTGGCGAGGCAACGCCGGCGGCCTCGACGACCGACGACGACGACGACGACGACGACGACGACGACGACGACGACGACGACGACGACGACGCCGACCACGACGACGACGGCGGCCAAAACAACGACGACCACGACGACGACGACGTCGTCGACGACCACGACGCGCCGTCCGTATGACAGGACCAGTCAGCATCGAATCGGGATGCCAGAGCGGATCGAAAGGCACGTCGGATCGGGCCGCACCAGCAATAAGTCGGAGTCGAGTCGAATCGGCCGCGCCAGAACGCACACCAACTCCCACGCAAACGTTAGGCCGCATCGGATCGTCGGGATGTCGGAATCGGATTTGATCGGGCCAGCCGGCATCGACATCGAGTCAGATCGCTCGGATCGGAGTGGGCCCTGCCTTCAGAGGCAACTGCTGGGTCTGTTGTTTCGTCGTGTGAACTTATGAGGCACATGCTGGAGACCTCGCACGGCAACCCGAGAACCAATCTGCGTCGGATGCACGTCGGATTTCGTCGGGTTGCCGTCGGAGCACGTCGGACGTACGCCGCGCCTGTGCTGGGACCTCGCCGCCCCGTCCCGGATCGGACGGGGCGGGCGCGTGGACTGTATATATATATATATATATATATAACTACTGCGCGCCGCGCGAGGCCTCCAGGATGTTCCACACAAAGTACAGTCGGGGCGTTGACCCAAGGAACCCTAAATAAGGAACGAGGCCCCTTTCTTCCATAAATTAACCTTCGATTTCGTATCGAAAACCTACGGAAAATCCAAGCCCAGCTGCGAAACAATTAAGGAACACGGAGCCCCTCCCCAACGAAAAGGGTCCCCCAGGCTGTTCCACACAAGGTAACGCCCCAGGGCAGAGCGCCAAAACGCTGCACATAAACCCCATTTCTCGGAGGTCCGCGCAGGAATTCCTGGATCGGCGCTGGACCCCCCGAACCCGGCGGGCGGAGCACGTCGGGGGCAGCGGCGCCGCCGGGGGGGAGGGGGGGGAGGGGGGGGCAGCGCCGATCCGAGAGATCTGCACGGAGCTGCGGGAGACTGCGTTTACGGGGCCTGTGGTTCTTCGATGAGGGCTACGAAGCCAAATTCGGCGGTGGACAGACCTCCCTTTAGTAAACCTCCCCTTCGTGAAAACGGCCTGGAACCGAAACCGACGGGCCTGGACCCGCAAAAATGACGGCCGCGACGCCCCCTCGCGAACCGAAAACGGCCAATGCGCTAATCGACGTGTCAGGGTAGGAGGTCTGTCCACCTCCGACAAAACTAAGGCGCCATCAGGCCCGCGTTTGCTGGATGCAGCCAGAGGACGAGGAAGACATGGCATCGAGAGGGATGAAACGGGACGATGCTGGATTGGGCCCGTTTCCGACTACGCATATGCCGGCAGCGATGCTGAATGCAATCTCTCAGGCCCCCGGGGGTCATCCTCGCCCCTCGAGGGTCCACAAGCTTCTTGAAGCCTCTCAGAACTGCTCCTCCAACCGCACCTTGGCCCCAACTCTGCGTGAGACGAAGCAGATACAGAAGCAGCATCCTGGCCATCGCTCGGACGTCCATTTCCTGTCTTTTTGTTCGGTCTCGTGCGTGTGTTTTTTTTCGCGAAATGATCAAGGATGCTCCTCGACGGCCCTCGCCGAGAAAAAAACATGCACACGTCCGAGCGATGACAAGCATCAGACTGGGGCAGATCGGGGATCTCTGAGGCCCAGCGCTTCTGCAAGCTGCACCGCGGGCCGCGGCCGTTCCAGAGCGCTCTGGGACGCTCCGAGCGCGCTCTGGAAGAGCACGGCTTCTCCTGGTCCTGGCCCCGCCCGCCGCTCCCCCGTGCACGGCCCGAAAGAAGGCCCGGAAGGAGACGTCCCCACCTCATCCAGGAAATACGCATAAAGCATCTGTACACCACCACCGTGCCAGGCCAGGGCCATCCTAGGCCCTAGGATGGTGTATGCGCCCTCCTGGCCGAGCCAGGAGGGTCTATACACCATCCTACGGCCCAGGATGGCCCTGGCCCGGCACGGTGGTGGTGTACAGATGCCTTCGTCGGAGGACACGGACCGCCCTGGAGCCCCCCAGTCCCCCCGCAGGCTCCCAGAGACGCCCAGGAGCGCGCAAGACCTCCGCATCGGCCCTCGACGCGCCCGCCTCCTCGGTCCTCGAAGTCCGGGAGGTGGTGACCCCCTCTGAAGGCGCCCAGGGACACACACATACACACACACAGACAACAACAACAACAACAACCAACAACAACAACAACACCAACAACAACAACAACAACAACAACACCACCACCACCACCACCAACAACAACAACAACAACAACACCAACAACACCAGCAGCAGCAACAACAACAACACCAACAACACCAGCAGCAGCAGCAGCAACAACAACAACAACAACAACACCAACAACACCAACAACAACAACAAACACAACAACAACAACAACAACAACAACAACAACAACAACAACAACAACAACAACAACAACAACACCAACACCAACAACAACAACAACAACATCAACAACAACAACAACATCAGCACCAACAACAACACCAACAGCAACAGCAGCAGCAACAACAACAACATCAGCAGCAACAACAACAACAACACCAACACTAACACCAACAACAACAACAACAACAGCAACAGCAACAGCAACAGCAACAGCAACAGCAACAGCAACAGCAACAACAACAACAGCAACAACAGCAACAAAAACAACACAAAACAATAGGCACACACACAGTCACATCGTTTTGTCGTACTTTCTGCATTGGGTCCTCCCCTCCACTTCACATTTTCTCTCATCTGTTCCTGGGCGTCGACGTTTGCTTGGGTCTGTGCATAGTTCTTCCCTCCGGACCCTTGGCCAGGAGAGGTGCGCGAAAGGGTGGCGCGGCAGCTGGCCAAGCAGTGGGCGGGCTGCTCGCCCTCCCCGCGGGGCCGGTCGAGACAACGGGGGCCCTCCCGGGGGCTTTAGGGTCTTTTTGGCCATCCCCTCCTCCTCCTCCTCCTCCTCCTCCTCCTCCTCCTCCTCCTCCTCCTCCTCCACCGCCTCCTCCTCCTCCCCCTCCTCCTCCTCCTCCTCCGCCGCCTCCTCCTCGTCCTCCCCCTCCCTCCACCTGCTCCTCCTCCTCCTCCCTCCTTCTCCTCCACCTCCTCCTCCTCCCCCTCTCCCTCCACCTCCTCCTCCTCGCGTCGCGGGGATGACACGACGCGCAATGTTTGTCACTGGTCGTCGGCCGCTGGGGGGGCCCTGGCCGGGTCAGGGGGAGAAAGCAGGCATCGGGCACGGGCCCGCCTTCCGAGAGGGCCGGCCCCCGCTCACCACCACCCCTCGTCGTGCCGCCGATCCACTCTGCGACAGCGCAAGACGAATTCAAGGACACTGACAACAGAGGACAAGATCAATTGGGATTATGCCGTACGCGGTGGATACAAGAATCTCCGGAGGTGCATCCGAGTCCGGGGCAAACGCCGTCCCGAGGCGTTCAACGAAACGGTTCGTGGTCCTATTCCCGGAACAGCGCAGCATCCTCGCTCGACGGACGGAAAGGGCGTGCGTGCACTCACGCACGCATGTTCGAAGGATGACATAAAACACAATATGCTTCGCACATGAAGTGCATCTCTGCGGTCGGGCGGCTCTGAAGGAAGAGTCGGGCGCGAACACGAGGGCATCGTCTAGCCCATCTTGCAGAAGGCAGTCTTGAGCATCGTTTGGCCGATCCCTATCCTCACTGGCATGACCTTGGCCCAAGCGGCCGACTTACCCCCCTACTGCCCTCGACTAATCTAGCCTCAGACAAAATGTGACGCTATGTTTTTGTATGTTTGACGCTATGGGTTTGGGCGGCATTGCGTGCGAAATACTTGGCACCTCCTCTCCAATGTCGGTCATCAAGAATCTTCCGAGTCGCACCTCCAATATCGCGTCTCGTTCTGCATCGAAATTGAAGGGAGCGGCACTGAAAAGGAAACGTAGGGTCGACGTTGAAGGGGCGCGTAAACCAACTTTAGAGGTTAATTTTGTTGAAGGTTGAAAACAAGGATGTATGCGGTTCTCTTCGGGCGTCGCGGAACCTGTCTCCACATGGATGGGCGGATGACCTAATTACTGAAGCTGCGATACTGAAGACCAGAAATTAGGGATGGACCAGTAGGGATAGGGACGATGCCCCCCCTATCGTCGCCTTATGGCAGCCGTTCGGGACGATCCGGGCACCCCCGGAACGCCCTTGGCGAGGCGAAGCTGCTGGAAAGCACCCCAAGGTTGGAAAGCAGCCGAAAACCGACGAAAGCGCCCGCACACCCTTGAAACTGGTAGGCTTGCGAAACTACGCTACAATCCCTGACGTCTTCCGATATGATTGAATCAATCTGCGGCCCAACACTCCGACCCATGGGACGATGCCCCCCCAAACGTCGTCTTCTGGTTTCCGCGTCATAGAATGGCTCTCTGGCAGCTGTTCGGGACGATCAGGGCACCGCCAGGACGCCCTTGGCGAGGCGAAGCTGCTCGAAAGCACCCCAAGGTTGGAAAGCCGCCAAAACCGACGAAAACGCCCGCACACCCTGAAACTGGTAGGCATGCGAAACTATGCTCCAATCTCTGACGTCTTCCGATGTTATTGAATCAATATGCGGCCCAACACTCCGACCCATTCCCCCGGGGGTGTTTTTCGACTGGGATCCGCGTTTGATGGCTCCTGGTCCCGGGAACGGGCCAGGGAGACCGAAATCGGAGAGGATCGCCCAGATAAAAACAAAATCCGTCGGAGATCTGGGGTAGACAAAGCATCGTAGCGCAGATCCCTGTCCCCACGGGCGTGGCCTTAGTCCCACGAGTCGATTTGCCCCACTAGATGGTGATACTGACACATGTATATGTATAAAG